TTTGAGACCAAATTTAGGAAAAAAAGTGCGTCTTATACGCCTTCAAATATGGTAATTATACTAATAAAAAGTCATGCTTTGTTTTCGCAAGTCCTTACAATAAAGCATTTGTAATTTGTTTTTATAGGATATAAAAAAAGGCCAAATTTTCCATTACATGCAAACAGTGGTATTGAGATACATACGAATTAGAAAATAATTAAAATTATGTTTATCATGTACATTACAAATTAGAATAAAATATAAATAGCACAGCAAATTAAAAAGAAGAAAATATGAGAAAAATTCATACATAATTAGAAAATAAATTAAAACAGTTGTTAAGAAAAGTTATGTATTCATAAGTATTTTTTCACTATAAAAAATAATTCCATAGACATACTGAAAAAAGAACTTCTGTAAAAAGAATTCTTCATACTTGATCTCTTAGCCAGTTTTGCATGAGAGGTTATTTTTATTACTTATTTTAACAGTTAAAAGAAAATTACTATGAAAGTCTGAAGCAATTTATAAAACAAAATGTTTCGATAGAATCTGAATCTGTTTGATGGTATAAGTACCAAACAGTTAATAATATTCAGCTCCAGTTTATTTTATACAAACACTATGTTGCTACTTTTAACAAGACATTAAAGCATAATTATGACCCTTGAAAAATCTAGTTGTAGGTTTTTAATTTTCCTGAATTCCATCATGTTATTTGCCTGCTACTCTAGAGTGAGATGACTCTTGGATTAACATAACATTTAACATGTTAAAAATTTGTATAATATATCTGTAATTTGCAAGTCTCCCCTCCCCAGTTTTTATTTGTTTGCATATTCCAAGAAAATTAAATTTTGTATTAAAGTATAAAATAAAAACATATTTTCAAGATTTTGTTAAGATGGCTTTAACAGGAAAACTACATAATGAAATCTCTTATAGTGTAAAGAAAGCTAAAAGCATTATATAGACTATGGGTATTTTTTGGGTTGAAGCTTTCAACTCTATAAATAATAATATTTTTGCCAGAATTGAAACCTGGGTCAAACTACCACATGAAATGGTCTTAAGTACTTAGGTATCGTTGAACCAATTTATAACAGAAACTGATATATAATTATATGGTGATAAGAACTTGTATATTCACCATTCTCTAAATTATAAAAATCACTTAACAGTGTTGAAAGTTGAATCATTATTTGAAATTATATGAGAGTAATGTTATCATTCTGTTTCAGTATAAAAGTTGCTTAAAAGATTTCTTATATCACAGCAATATACAGTGAATTCTTTCCTGCCGCTCTTCTACCACAGACGACACATTTGAAAATAATAATACTTCTGTGAAATAAATAAACATTAGTACTGATAATTGTAATAGCATTCTCTAAGACAACCACATTTTAACCCAACAGACACCATCTAATGTGCAGTACAGTCTAATTTTACTATCAAATTAAAGTTCTTTATGTGCATCATGTGCCTAAAGAGTTATTATACTTCCATTTCTCATTGTAGTAGCAAAATTATTTTTGTGGGAAAAAGTTAATCAACTCCGTGATTTGTTTAACTGCTTACAGTAAAGCACACAAATGACTATCTTAGTACAATTCACACATTTGGAAAAATGTCTGCTAAATCCCTAAATGCACCAAAGTACTGTAAAACAACATTTGGCAGTTTGTGATATAACATATTTGTTTTATAACATGGATGTAGACATTCTAACTCAGCAGCAAGATCTAAGGTGTTTATCTCTCTTGAGTTTTGTTTCATGTCATTTAGAGCATGTATACACTGCTTTCCTTATTTTATGGCAAGTTCTCAATGCCACAAATAATGCTAAACACATCAGAGTAGTGACTTTACTGCTCAAATCTTTCTGTCAAAAGCAGTGTTAAAAAGTTGACTCATAATTGATTTCCACCTAAAATGGGTTCATCTATGTTTTTATAAGAAAACTGCTTTTTACAATTGTACATGTGATATCATTTAATTGAGTAACCCTCTCCTAAAGATGTAATCAGTTCCCTTGCTTCTTTAGTTCTTTTCTAAATCCTTTTTCTCAGAACTCTTCAATATATAATATTGCAGTTATCAGTTTTTCTGTGGTAACTAATTACATGCTTTGCTGAATTGTGTTGTTAACTTTATTGATATTATTGAAAATTTAACTGCATCACTTCATACTACCTTCTATTTTGTCCCCCTTTAAAATTGATGACTTTTTGCCATTGGGGGATTTCTATTTCAATTTCACTACAGTTGCTCATTTTCTTCTCTCATCATTATAAAGCTTATTTATAGTCACACTATCATATTGCATTTTTTAAAAATTTCCTTACTCTGCCCTTCTTTCTTGATGTTTCCTTCAACAAATCCATCTTATGCTTTCTCTTTCTCGAGAACCTGATTTTTTATACACATTGGACCCCCTTTGTGATTGATATATGGGCACAATCTACATTTAACAAAAGCACTATGGAGAGAGAGATACTGACATTATTACTAATCTCTGCTAAGAACTGGAAGTTCAGTATGATCAGCAAGACATTTTGGCTTTTTACTTAAATATAAGATCAAAACTTGTATGCATATTAACAGATGCTGGAGATGAGGAACTGATAAACAGCATTGTTTATTAAATGTAAAGAATTTTGATAAGGAGTCCAGTTATTCAGTAAAATATCTCTGAAATCTTTATCAATAAGGTTTTCTGAAAGATTTTCTGATCCAAAATCTTCACATGTATTTTGGTGTAATGAACACAGTTTGCATAACATCTAGGCCATCAGTGTTCAAGGACGTTCTATAGTTCATCATAATATCACCCATATAATTAAATAAACTTTGTGCAATAGATACATGGAAGCAAATTAAAACAGATTTAATCAGTTTTGTCAATATTAGAAGTTTCTGTATTCCATCTTCTTTTAGCCTAAATACTACTGCCCAAAATTTTACAGTATTAGTTTATTTTTCTGTTTTTGGCATAATAATTTTTTTGTCATAAGAAAATTTCTTGCCTGAGTGACCGAATTAAATGAACTATAAACAACAGATTCATAAAAGTAAAATAAAATAGATTTAATCACTTGTATCAATGTGGATATTTTTACTTGCCATCTTCTTTTAGCCTGAATACTTCAGACTGATGTCATTAATAGTCTAAAAGTTTTAATTTCATTGAGGATTTAAAAAAATCTGGAATTTTAACTATATCCGGACCACAATCACCTCTGAATATCAAATTTAACACTTTTCACATACAAGCAATGAAGACAAGATCTTCAGTTAAATAATTCAATGGAAGTATCTGTAAAACTCTTAAAAAAAAAAAAAAAAAAAGCTATAAGAAAAAAAGCAATCAAATTTAAACTGATTGATAAATTACATAAATTTTTCCTCAAAATAGGTGGTCATTTAATACCTCAGTTAGTCCGCTAGTGCCACGAACATAAGTTATACAAAATTGATACATTTAAATGAAAGAAAAATATAAACAGAGTTTGCCACTATTGTTAAGAATGATCTTATGAATTTCAGATCCGAAGTTGAATGCCATGAAAATGAAAATAGTTAATTTTTTAATCCAAAAGCAGGTCAGCCAGTTAACCAAGAAAAAAGGATTTCGAAAGTGGACTGTGTATTGTAAAAATGTGAAATCATTTATCTATATTGTAAAATTATAATATGTTTAAGCAAATATCCTAAAAGCCTGTTTCTTATAATGTTTTCATTTATTAGCTTCGTAACTGCAGAGAAATTTCCTTGCTCTAATTTTCCCAGAAATTTTTAAAATAAAACTGACACTAAATCCTGTGAATTAACTGAGTTGAATGCATTGTGTTTAGTATATGAATTTATATCTTATACAGGCTGTATGAATACAGTGTTGAAAACTTTCAGGAGAGATAGAGTACACCTAGACGATGGGAAATCACGTAGGAATGCATGGTTGGAAATGCTTTCCTGGCGCAGTAACGACGACACAAAAGTCGAGAAAGAAAGGACACAAACGGGGTAAGAAAACGTGTATTATTCGGAGTACAACAAAAACAACACAAAAAGACAAAAATCATTGTCAAAGAATGTGTTCGGAATTACGACCCAGACTGTGATGCAGATCTTCCATGCGGAGATGTGAGGCCTGCATCATGGTCCAGGATCATAATTTCAAACACCTTCTTTAATGACGATCGTTTTTTTCCCCTTATTAGTAGGTTTCTGCCGAACTAAACATAATAAAACATTTTGTCTCACTGTTTGTGTCCTTCCTTTTTTGCTTTTTGTGTCGTCACAGCCGCACCAGGAAGGCGTTTCTGACCATGCATTCCTATGTGATTTCCCATTGTCTAGGTGCACTCTATCCTGAAAGTTTGTCGACACTGTACTGATACACCCTATATAAATGCCAGCAGTATTTGTAATAATAGAGGAACTTAGATTGAATCACAAATTTTGTTGAGAGAATCAGCATCAGCTCTACCAGAGTCAATTTTTATCAGTACTAAGAGCAGTCGTTAATTGAATAATTGATTACACATAATGCTATAAGTATAAATTAAGTAAAATTAAATTATGACTTTCCAATATAAATTGCATGTAAATCTTAATTGAAAAGATTTCCAGGACTTTAAATGTGTTTCATGTCCATTTAATCATTTTATATCTGCAGCATTTAGACAACTTTTGAATATATGTAATGCAAACTTCCATTCACTAACATAATTAAAAAAAAAAAAAAAATGTGAAGTAGCATGCCATTTATGGAAATTGAGGATATGCCTCTGACATAAGATATATAAAGGAATTCGACAATATACTGCACCTTATACTGAAACAGCTTGCATGAGAAACTTTATATTGTTATCTATTGCCTGCATTCTCTATAGATTGGTATTATTAGGGCTTGGCTGAATAGAATGTGCCAAAACTAAACCTAAAATAAAATCTTTTATACAAAATGTACTTTATATATTATTTCATCACATAGAGATTATTTTTTTTTTTAGGCTGCTTTACTTCATGATACTGTTGAAGACACAGCTACAACACTGGAAGAAATTGAAGAACACTTTGGGGCTGCAGTACGAAATATTGTTGCTGAAGTCACTGATGATAAATCCTTACCATATGGAATTCGCAAGCAAATGCAGATAGAAAAGGCTAAAAAATGTTCCTATGAAGCTAAATTAGTAAAACTTGCAGATAAATTATATAACCTTCGAGATCTACAAAAATCCACTCCTATAGGATGGACTAATAGAAGAGTGGAAGAATACTTTTTATGGGCTGCTGAAGTAGTGAAGAATCTGCAAGGAACTCATAGCAAACTGGAAGATGAACTGAAACACGTATTTAGTGCCCAAGGAATTTATTTAAATAATTAATTATATGTGTATGCATGCATGATTATATAAATTTATTTGTTGTTATTCATATTTCTTATAATTCTACGATGTTTTAAAAATATTTTGAAATTATATTCAATGTAGTTGCTATATTGCATTTTCATCACAAACTATTTTCAAAATAAAATCTAAAGAAGTGCTGTATTTTAAAAGATTAAAAATTAAGTGTAACTTTTATATTTATTTAAATGCTGTAATACATTTAATAACAAAATATGTTAAGTCATATACCATTCACTTAATTAAAAAAAAGCGTTTTATGATGTTATTTTTTTATCATTTGTAAACTATCAACTTAAATAACACTGCCATCAGGAAGAAACAATTTAAGAACAGTTTTGAAAGTTTGATAAAATGAAAACAAAATCTTTAAAATAACAGCCTCTGAACTTTGATTGCACCCAAGAACATAGTGAAAAAGACTTCTAACTGTTCTCAGTTAACTTTTTAGCTTTATAGATTAAAAATTCAAGTAAATGAGGCATAGCTCTTCAGCACTCAACTGCCCAAATAACTGTAGCTCAGTCATCTAGAGAAATACATATGTGAGAGAAGACTGTTAGAATGGGAAGAAGGAGTCATGCAAACAATACTCTTTTGGTGAATGACTCAACTTCCTCCGAACAAAAAACAGCATTGCAATAAAGCAATTCTGTCAAACTTTTTCTTTAACAATTTCAAAAAGTAGCACACATTCAAACCTAAAAAATGTTAAAAAATAGGAAGCAAGTTTTTCAAGAATAGCAGCTTTGCTGGTCATGTGTCCCAATTTGGAAATTCGTACAATTTTTTAAAAATTGATTTTATCTGAACGTAGTTCAAAATATCTCAATTTAACCATAAAATCTTGACCACTTCAATCCACTTCTTTGCTCCAGAATTCATAATCAAATGCCATTATTCTACAAATGGGTAAGTATTATTTACAATTCTAAAACATTAGTATTAGATATTTTATTGAATAATAAGATAATACATTCTACATATTATTAAATTTTGAGGGGAATGTTTTCAGTGTCAAGACCAACATAGAAATATTTACATACAGATAACATTGCATTTACAATACAGACAATCACTCCAAATAAAAACTAAATAAACACGTATTTAAAAGAATTATAAGAAACAAAAATATGTGACACCTGCCAAAAGACAAACTATTTTGTCCCCATTTCAATAAATGTTCCACATGCTAACAAAAAAATTAGAAAATATCAAGAATGCTAATTTCTGATATCTCTTTGCTTTCCCTTTTTTATTCATTCTAAAACAAACTTTTAGTTAAATGAAATATTTTACTTATTAGCATGGTTTCTACAATCAAGAAAATATATCATTTTATAAACTAATAATATTGAAGCTAACAAACTGAACAATATGTACAGAATATTTTTAATAAATTCATTGTAAAGTCTAAAAAAAAAATTAAAGACAGAATTCTGTGTTTCTAAAGCACTAAGTGATTTTTGCCTTTAATTAAAAAATCTTATGATTTATTTCCTTTATATTAGTTCTTTGAATAATCCTACACTTAATCTATACTCATCATATTATGTTTTTCTCTGTTCCTAAACATGTTTTTGATAAGTCTGTTGTAATGCAGTAGCTAGAAATATAGTGATAAAAATAATGCCATGTATATAAGCAGCAATCTAATAGAAACATACCATGGATGTTATTTTGAGTATACAAAGCAACAGTGTATGTATGGTGACATTCATGTATGGTTATGTTATTATGAAACATTAAACTCTGTCCATTTCAGTCTATATCTGTATTTGTCTTCGATGTTTTGCCATCATTTCTTTTCCTTGTATAACAAAGAGGTAGTTATAATGTTCTGATTCTTGGTTGTGTATATTAACTACTTGCACTACGACTAAACTTCATGGTAAACTCATAATGCATTTACACATGTGCATATGCATTTAATGTATAATGGACGGTATAAGCTAAGCTAAAATTATCTATTTCAGTTAATGTTGCAGATTACGTTGTTCCTTAATCTTCGAATTAGATTTTACTTTTTGCAGACTGTTAGAGCAATTTTATAAAAGTAAGCTTGAACTTTCGATTCTGTCAAAAAGAATTTCCGATTCTGCAGCTGCCAAAGGATCTACAAAGCGAAAGCATGTTTCGATGTCCATCAAACAAAAAAGTGGAATTGCTGCAAAAAAAATGGATAAAGGCATATCCTTTGTTTCTCTAACCGTTCCGAAATCTGTTTATCAATTTCGCACTGCTCTGCGAGGGGGGGGGCGTAACGGCGCAGCGCGCAATGAACTGGAAGTTGATCAGTCAGCACTATCCTTATCTTCAGATGTTTTTATTTTATTAGGCTTATAATCCTTACTAAATGTAGTATTTCATCCTGATGTACTCCGTCTTTGATATGATTAAAATCAAATTCCTCGTCATTATAAATATCACGAATACACATCAAATAGTTTTCTGGTAGCAATTTTCTAATTTCGACTATGTGTAACGTATGCTTTACACATGCACGCATTGAAAGAAATGTTTAATAAAGTAAACAAATAAATATTAAGCTTTTTTTTTTTTTTTTTTTTTTTTGTAAATTTTGATACCCTTTAGATCATAATTGCTCTTTATTTCATAAATTACGGTTTCATATTTTTAACTTTATAATTTCCGCATGCCATCTTACCAGATTTAAATTGATGATCTATAATCCGGAATCGCCGAAGTCTGGATTAAAGACTTCTGACTGTATATTATTATAATTCTGCTTTTATCACAGTTTCTTTCAATATAATAATGTTAATTTTCATTAGATATATTTATTAAGCATAATTTATTCAGTAAATGCTTTTGATATAATGGAAATCATAAAAAGTTTATTTATTCAAAATGAACAAAATAAAAATGGTACTGGACAAAACTAAAGTTTTTTTGTTTAAATGTTAAATCAGCACATTCCATTTAATCACTAACACATACAATTACTTATACGTGCTTATAAATTTACGATAGTTATTTAAAATTTCATTTCATTATTCAGATGTATGTACATTATTTTTAAATTTATGGCTATTTTGAATAGTACTGCTATTTTTAATGTTATATATATTTTTATCACTTAAATAATTATGAAACATGAAGTTAATAAAAAGTTTAATTGAACTTGCCATTTACAAATCAACACCAACATTAAAAACATCCAATGTTTTTATTATATTCAACATTTCATTTTCTCTCTTTAATAATAACAGATTCATAAAAATTACAACCCAATTATAATCAGGACACTTGTCCTACAAATAGCATAATTTACATTAAATGCATGCTTTAGTTAAGATTTCATATCATATGCTTCAATAAAGTGATAAGCAAGTACTTTATAACAAGAAAATCCTTAGGAGCTGTATTTAATCAAATGATCATGTTATATGCTTGCAAACATTAAGATAATAGTGCTTACTGATTTCCTAAATTAAAAACTATTGTTCTGATCTAACTCAACTGATATAAACAGCTGACCATATGTCCTGGTTTGAATGGCATAGTACCATTTTATTTACCGCTCCTATTTGTCTTATTGCTTTGTCAAAAATCTTAGATTTGGCTCTATCTAAATGCTTTTAAATGTGTTTAAATATTAGTTAATTGTAACACACAAATGAATTCATATCTATGGTACCAACAACTGCTGTTGAGATAATAATAGTAGTAAAGAAATATTGGTAAAACTACATATAATAGATGCTGCTTTTGTTCTGTAATAATACATTTTTATTTTGCTTATTTGTTCACTGCAACATACATATGTAATATACTCTTTAAATTTCTGTTTTATATTTGCTACTGTTTTGAACTCGCAAACTGAAAATGTCACAGATTCAAAAATTAACATTCTATAATCATCTCTAAAAATATTCAAATTCATCACACTGGGTAAATTATGTTTCGATAAAATAAAATTGGTACAACCATTTTTCTGTTACTGTAATAGAGTTCGCTGCTTATGGATACAGAAAAATCAAATTATGTTGTGTAATTAAGTTCAACTGAAAGTTCAAATTCATCACACTGGGTAAATTATGTTTTGATAAAATAAAATTGGTACAACCATTTTTCTGTTACTGTAATAGAGTTCGCTGCTTATGGATACAAAAAAATCAAATTATGTTGTGTAATTAAGTTCAACTGAAAGTACACAATATGGCCATGAACATAAGAATTCTCCTCTAATATGACAGCTATTGCAATTTCAATTTTTAGATTAAAAAACTTGCTTCTTGTGCCATCCCATTTTATGAAATACATCATATTAAAATTTGAAGAAATTCTTCAAAATTCAATATAGCATGAATTTTTATCTTAAAAAGTGTTCAAAATATGCTGTTTAAATCGATAAATTTAGAATCTGTACATCACAAGACTACCTTCATCATTTATGATGGGAAAAATTCATATTTAAATATCCATTCTATATCAGTATGTCATCATAAAACATTATGAGATATGACTTCTAAACAGTGTTTCTATTCATTTTTTACTACGGAAGAAAAAATGTTAGCCTTTTGAATTGCACCTATGACTTTAATGTTGAGTATTACGATGATCATTATACTTAGCGTTTGCAATAAAATAGGCAGATCTTAATAACTAGTGAAACGTTTGATCACAATATAATAGAAAAACTAATATTCCGAGATAGTATCTCAACATATATGGCAATGGCATAGCTAGATGGGGGGAAGGGTGTCTGCCCAGGCAGCACATTTGTAAAGATGGCATTTTCTGAATGAAACATTATTTTATAGGTGTTCATCATAAGATCATCGAAGCAAGTGAAAGAGATTCTAAATTGTCATACAAAGTTAAATTAAAAAAGAAAAATAGTTTTTTTTCTTTTTTTTAACTCTAGCTAAAATACTGAAAGAAATCATCATCGGATTTCAATAACTATATACTCTTGCTATACCTATTTTACTTAGTGGAAACTTTTGAATGAAAATTATCAGCTACGTTATGATCATGGCAACATTAATAAGGAAAAATTCCTTGTTAATAATGAAGTACTTCAAATATAATAGAAAGTATAATTTGCTTTAATGCTACAGAAAATGAAGCAGGCATGTGAAAGTGCAGTCTTTTTGAATTTTTTGCATTTTTTCCCTAAAATACGATCTCCAAAATAAAGTTCCAGATTTTGTAATACTATTGCTAACTTTTCTCACAATGGCTGTAAGTGTTGCTAGTTGTGAAAACTTTTCTATATAAAAAACACTTAAGAACTATATTTTGCTTTTAAGAAACATTTATATATGTATTTTCTACATAACAGCAGCTGGAACAATAAAATAATACAATAATCTATAATGTCATTGACAGTTTTGCAGACAGAAAAACAGGCATAACAATAATATAATTTTAAAATGTTGGAATCAAAAGAATTTCTTCAAAAATTAATATAGAATTTTAATTTATTTCCTTACATGTCATCTCTACTTTTTTTTTGTACATCAGGAGGGATGGCAAATGCGGACACCATTTGAGCAGCTAAATTTCTAGCCATGCCACTAATACATGCCAATATAAATATTTACTTATATTAAAAAAGCTCAGCTATTGCTACACTTCAGAAAAATGTTTTAATATTTGCTATACTCATAAAAGTAAAATAAAGCATATTATTATATTTATAAGGATAATCTATCTAAAGTTTATATTAAAATTTATCAAGAAGAATGTCAATTAAATTTTCTTATCATTAAAACTAAATTAGCATGAGAGGCCATTTGAAGATCTCGTACCATAAAATGAATTATAAAATAGTTGTCGTTATCATTCACAAAGATCTACTTTCATTTTAAATCCCCATTCATGATTTTATAATTGTGTTGAATAAAAATTCCTTATCTTGGAATTCTACAACTTCATAACTTTTATTATGAATCTTTCTACTGATATACAGCTGTCTGGAATATGGTAGAAGAATGTCAGTTTGAAGCTTCATACGTTCTTCATTCATATTATCTTAGAGTTAATTCAACAAATTTGCATATTCCTGTAGTGACCCTCATATGGCATTTTTTGAAATGAGACAGCTTTTGGGGCGGATGCACAGTTTATCATGGTAGCAGTCTTATTGTTCACTACTAACCATAATCTAATAGCATAATGAAATCCTGATACCAGTTAAGTGATAAAATATATTACCCAATTGCTTAGATACAAATGATGGTAATTTAAAAAACTGGAAAAAAAAAAAAAAATTGTGGTGCATGTAAGCATAAGACTGCTCAAGATATTTGTAGTACTTTTACCTTAAAAAAATCATTTTCATAAAATAAAATTGAATATTTTAATAATTGACATATTTTGATAAAAATGAATCTTGCTGTTGGTTTAAGTACTTTCTTTGTTTATAAATTTCAAATTTTTCAAAAACTGGAATTTTGGATTCCACAATCATGAATTTGGTAGTTTTCAAGATTCAGATCTTTTGAAGAAATTAAAGTTTTTACTAATAATTATTAATGCTCTTACACCAGGTAAAATTCATGAATATTTGTAGAATATCTATAATTTGAAAAGGGAATATTTTCCGGATAAACAAGTCCATAGTATGATTTAAAAACAGAATTTTTTAATTTCAAGATTTTAAGAAGGAGATTGGGTTAAAAAAATTTCTGTAAAAAATTGGTCTTTAAGTCCTGGAAAGTAAACTTCTTCAGAACTTCGATTAGTTGATAGAAAAGGAAAATAGTACAAGTTTGATTGAAAAGATTACTGAAAAAGA